CCGTCTCATGGTCGCGCCGCGCCGGCGGCTGGAACGGAAAACAAAACAAAAAAAAATCATGGTGGGGCCATGGCCATGGCCAATCTGGGGTGTGGCCGAGACATCTCGGCCGTGGCCAATCTGGGGTGTGGCCGAGACATCTCGGCCGTGGCCACTACCGGATGTGGCCGAGACATCTCAGCCGTGGCCAATCTGGGGTGTGGCCGAGACTTCAAATAGTAAATTCTGGGCGCACTCATAGCAAGGATACGGATGATATGGCCAATCTGGGTTGTGGCCGAGACTTCAAATAGTAAATTCTGGGGTGTGACATCTCATTCGGAGTAACTCATAGCGACTCATAGCATTTTCCATTTGCGCACTTCCAAGCGGCGCGACGGCGGAGACTCCGCGAGCATCCCTGCGCAAGAGGAAGAGGCATTTCAGCAACATTGTGAGATTCTTTTCGTTTCACGCGGCTTTTGCCAGCGTTCTTTCAAGGGCTATTTGAGGTATGTTCTTCTCACTCGGGTGAACCTAGTCGTCATCTCGGTAATTTGCTGCTGGAGACTTGAGGAAGTTTCGGACGACTACTTAGGGTGAGAGTTTTCTGGTTGGCCTTCTTCCTCTACCTCCTCTCGAGTTTCTGGGATGTTGCTCCATTGACAATCTCTCTGAGGGAAGGCAAGGCTGAGTTGATATTTGAATTAACCTGGACATGATTTGGGCAGTTCAGCGGGTTGAGTTCAGGTGACTATTTGGGTGAAATTCTGCCAGACCTTCTTCTTCTATCCTCTCTCAAGCTCCTGTATTGTTACTCCATTGACGTTTGCTCCTAGGAGGATATTGATGTGTTTGATACGTGAATGAATTCTGACATGATTTGGCGTAGCTCAGCGGGTTAAGTTTGGGCGACTATTTGGGTAAGAACTCTGTCGGGCCTTCTTCCTCCACCTTCTTTCGAGTTTTCCGGGATGTTGGTCTATCGACGTTCTTTGTGAAGGAAGGTATTGATGCACAGCGGGTTAGGCTCGAGCGACTATTTGGGTAGGAATTCTATCGGTTTCTCTTCGAATGATGCTCCGTTGACATTCGCTCCGAGGGAAGGTAATGATGAGTCTGAAACTCAAATGAACCTGGACATGATTCAGGGCAGTTCAGCGGGTTAAGATCGGGCGACCACTGGGAAAATTTCTGTCGGGACTTCTACTCTACCTTTCGTGAGTTTCTGGGACGATGCCCATTATAGCTCACTCCGAGAAGTAATGATAAGCTAAGTTTAGAGTTGGGACATGTATTGAGGCAACTCCGAATGAGCTTGAGGTTGGGTTCGGAAACCTTCCTCGCAAGGATACGGATGATTAAGATTGGGTAGGGAGTGTGGAAGGAAGGGTGAGTAGTTACTAAGGGTTAGACCCAGAAATAAGTACGGGTGCGGGCCAAATTCGGAGAAACGAACCTGGTAGGGAATCGGGAGGTATTCGGAACGAAGCATTTGGGGCCGAGACATCTGGTTGAGTATTCGTCGCTGAATTCGGGAAGTAACTTACGTGTCCTAGCAGGGGATTGAGACCATCGGGAAAAGGGAAGGTGGGATTAAGGTGGAATTACGATAAGCTCTAAGAAGAACGAATGAAGCAGAGAATGAATTAAGGCGTGACGGACCAAATAGGTATCTAAGGTTGAAGTAATCGAGGCTCGACTGGATCGCGAAAGCAACTCGGTGAGATAGGAATTCGGATTTGCCGGGTCAGGTAACTAGAACGAAAGAAGCGCTCAGGTTTCAAAAAAAAAAAAAAAAAAAAAAAAAAAGGAGGGAAGAGGATCTATTAATTCGGGATTGATTTAGCTCGGGGCGAGGAAGCAAGGAGCGGAGCATTCGGACTCAAAGGCGTCAAAGGGGCAAAGTTGAGAAGGAACTAAGATCTAACTCAAAAAAAAAAAAAAAAAAAAAAAAGAGAAACAGGGGAAGGAA